ACTAAGAAATTAGTGAAAACTTATAATGGAAAACTCTGGAAATTAGTTTAAAAATAGCTAAAATTTAAATAGCTTAAGTTAGTAAGAATTATGTCATTATACTATATCAGCAAAGGATTAGAAATGTTGTACATAAGCTTTTCTTCTCTTTAAGTTTGGTAACATATATAAATAGAATCTGAAGTCATGAAGGTTCAGGAGCATCTGTTGTGGAGCATATGTCTCAATGACATATAGTAGTTGAGAAGAATCTTTCTGTAAACAGTATGATTCTTGCCTCTCTGAAATGCATCATCTGAGAGGCACCCCATTGCAAAGTACTGTGTGGGCCTGAGAAAGGGTTTAGGGGAGAGTCACAGGAGTGGTTCTTAGTGATGAGAGTATCACTCGCTGTTGGGCTGAAAATGGCACGGGTATGTGTGCTAGCGGGTAGAGGTTGGTTATAAAAGAATGTCTTCGATTGAATTTTAAGTAGTAGAGAGTAGGTTTGTCAGAGGAGAGAAGAAGTTGGACAAAATGATAAGCTAAAGCCACAAAGTGGAACACACAACAAGTCCTGATAATCAGTGAGGAACGTGGTCTGAATCGCATTCACGTGGGGTTCATCTCAGCTTCTCTTGCTCAGGCTCACCACTTTCTGGGACCTGAAAAAGTTGTGAGACCAGGAACCCACAGCTCAGAGTGAATTTCAAAGTTAATTTCTTAAATGACATAACTCTAGGGATTACTGGGCCATTTCCTACTTTGATTAGAAAATTATATAAATATATTTTATTTTGAAGATTCTAGTCCCATAAATATTTCAAGCTCACCTAGAGTTTATGAAAATAAATTCATAAACATTAGTCCCGGTGGCAATTTTAAACAATATTAAATCTCACCAATTCATTTTCTGGATAATAATATTGATTGACATCTAAATGGAAGACTCAGGTGGATTGCCAGAAGTCACTGAATCAGACAAAAATGATGGAAAATTTATCTATCTGCCCTTATTTCCAGTCAATGCTTTTTTCACTGTGTTAGGGAAATTTTTTAATGAATTATTTCAAAGAAACATCTGCATGTCTTTCTCTCTGTTACATGGGGTCTCAAGACATTCCAAGCTGCTGTCCTGAAGTCTGTGTGCCCATCTTTCAATTTGCTCTAAAATCACTGCTGATGTGTTTATCTAATAACCATTCAAAAACTTCCTTCAGTTTCTTGTCTCCCAGCAGTGCAGCTTCCTCTTGTTATCGTGAGCCAGGCATTTCCCCCCTCCACTTCCTAATAATTTCTGTTCTTATCATATTTCCTTGTAACACGCTTGGACAATCTGGCAGAGATTTGGGGAAACTGATTCATTCAATTCCCCAGCCCATGTCCAGTTCATCAAAGCTGTGAAAACCTTGCACCTTTTGTTTCAGACTTGAGACCACTTTACCTGTTCAAGGAACAAATGATCCCGCCTTGCCTGAATTGCTTAGACAATGCCTGCTCTTCACAGTGAGCAGTAAAGCATTCATCTATCTAGTATTTTTGTTATCATAACTATAATGGCCATTCATTTGTGAACTTTTGTTTGGAATCCTTTAAGCACTAAGGATTCTGTTTCCATAGGCACTTTTTAGGTGTTTCTATTTAACAAATTTTTGTGTATATGACATAGAAACAGACTGCAGGCAGAAATCACCAGGCAAATACAACTTCTGTTCTCAACAATGGGCACTTACAGGGTAGAAACAAACCTTCTGTCCTTTCTCCAACTTTCAACTCAAAACATTTTTACGCACTTAGTAAACACATGGCAACTTTTGCTATTAGAATTTTGAAGTTGTTCTCCCTGCATGTGTCTACAATAACTGCACAGCTCTGGATTCCTATTTGAAATAGTCAGCTACAAAATATATACTCATTTAGATGATAAGTGCTTGTTAAGTCACTACTGTGTGTTAAATTCTGGCTTAGGCATTAGAAACTCAGTGGCAAATGAGCCAGTCAAGCATCACTACACTCTTAGGGCTTCTAATCAGAAGATCAAATAATGAATTAGATATATAAGTTAAAAAACACATAGAAAATATGTTAGTAATAAGCAATAAAATAGATAAGTAAACAAAATATACAGAATGATATCAATAGTAACCAAGAAGAAAAAGCCCTAGGGGGAAGCACTCAGTGGCAGTGATTAAAGAGTCTGCAGAAGCCAGGCCTGGCTTCAGAGGAAGCTGGTTAGGAGCTGTCCTTTACAGGTCAAGTGCAACAAAGACTGAGGGACAGAAAGAGGAAAAGGAATAAAATATGAGAAAATTGAGGATTGCAAGACACAAGGAAAATGGTCTATAGAATGCTGAGATATTTTCAGAAATGAAAGAGAAATATCAAATAGATTCCTATTGCAAACAATGTTGTAGTTCTCTATCATCCCAGTCAGTGAGATTCCAGCGCCATGGTAGGCATTATGGGGAGTTAGCTCTGAAAAGGGGTCCGTAGTACTGGAATAGCGGATGCTAGAGCTCTGATGTCTCACCAAAAACCTGAGACAAGAGAAAGGGATTGAATTTTCCAGGGTATGCCAGGAGGGAGTAGAAAAATGTATGTCACTTTTATCCCTCGCTCCCCTTTCTTCTCCTCTTCTTCCTTCCTCCTTTCTTTTCTTCCTTTTTGTCTTTCTGTTATCCTCCCTTCCTGACCTCCTACCTTCCTTTTAAATACCCCTAGTCACCAAAAAATCTTCTTGTGATGTGGACGAGGTCCATTTACTTTGGGAATTAAAAGCAATAGACAAATCAGCCTTCGACATTGTCTACTCTAGAGCCAAGAGGGGTCGACGCATTAAATATTTTGAAAGCAAGACTAGAATAACACAGTGATTAAGACTTTTCAGACTCTTCATGAACCTTTCTGGTGGCAGTTCTATCCTGTCCTTATTATTTAAGAACAACTAGTGTCATCCCTGCTATCTTTCTTAGTGGCTTTCCTATAACACAAGTTTAATTCAATGTCCCCTAAAAGGCACAAAATCCTTTTGCTTGTAATGAATCCCAAAGTTTCACTGAGCTAATGGTCATCTCACCTGAGAGAGGAAAATGTCTCTAACTGGACCTGAAGAGAAAGCTTCTGCGACTGGGGATATGGCTCAGTGGTGCAGCTTCTGCCTGGCAATCACGAAGTCCTGAGTTTGATTGCTGGCACCATGAAAAAGGAAAACTTAAAGAATCCATATCAGGGAGCAGTAATTATGTGTTATTTTTCTCTGGATATGTTCTGCCTGTGGCAAGCAAAGGCATCTAAAACAATTTTATTGCACTAGAAAGACATTTTATGTTCACAATGTTCTTTTCAAAAAATAGCTATTTTAGTGCCTAAATTGTTGAATGCTTCACTAGTGATTTTGTTTTTTAAGTCTTGGAAGAACAGAAGTCCCTGGAAACTAGCACTCTTCTTACTTTTTTCTCTTATTTTTGCTATGTCCAACAATTAAAAGTATAGTTCTGAGGATGAAGTCATTTATGGGTGTTCAAGGAAATAAAAGGTGTCATCATTTAAATACAAAATGTCCCCCAAAGTCTTGAGTACTAAGGGCTTGATCTTCAATGCAAGATATTCAGAGATGGGGCCTAGACTGGTGACTGGGTCGTAGGAGTGTTAACTTCATCAAAGGACTAGGCCCATTGATGAGTGTGTAGCTGAGCTATTTTAGGAGGTGGGGCCCAGCTGCAGGAAGTAGATCCCCAGATAAACGACTTTGCAGTAACTATGCCCTCCAACCCCTTCCTCTCTGGCTCTTCCTGCACTGTTTCCCAGCTGCCGCGGTGCACAGCAGCCCCCACCACTGGCTTCTACCATGTTTCTACTGCAGCACATGCCTTACAGCAGTGGAGCTGCTGGCCATGAAAATATGAGCCAAAATTAACTTTTCCTGTTCTAAATTGCTTGTGTCAGTAACAAAAAGTTGACTAACACAAAGGGGAAAAGAGCAAAAGTCCTGGTCCCCCACCAGCTCATTCGTTGTGTGGGACCTGCACGTGGCCAGAGAAAAGATACATTCTCCTCCCGTCTTACTAAGCTCCAGCTGGACAATTGAATGAGTCTTCCCCTCTCTCATTTCCTTTTTGAATCTGTGCATAGAGATATTGTTATGTATTTTTTTAAAATATAGAGAGCTGTTTATTAGCATTAAATGAAATATAAGTATATAGATCGATAATTGTATTGATAAACAGGGTAAGACTCTTGTAGCTATGTAGATGTACAACTTTGCAAATCGGAAAGTGAACATCCTAATGTGCTCATTGCTTCTAAGCAATGTCTCCTTTTTTCTTTCACAAGCTTTCTTTTTCTTTTTCCTGAAAAAATCCTATGAACTCTTAATATATCAAACTGGAAACAAAATAAATTGAGACAAAAAGTGAATTTTATCAATTTTAAATTAAAAGACATGTTAGTTTTGATGAAAGATTCTGAGACAAAATCCTTAAGAATCAAAGAAAAATTTGGGGGGAGACAAGGTTTTGTTTATTTATTTATATTTTAGTTTGGCTTTATTAGCATGGGTGCAGTACATAAAGATTACATTTCTTGAAGAGTTGGTAATGTACATATTTTAATTCCTTTTTCATCCCTTGCCCTTCTCTTTCTTCCCTCTCCACTATTTCCTCTACCATAAGAAGTAGAGATTTTCCTGGGCTCAACTCTAACCGTAAATCACAAATCCTTTCTCAGTGTCACTCAGATCCTGTGACATTTGAAGTTTTCAAACTTTCTCACTGAAAAGATTTGTTCTAGCATTTAGCTACTTTTAGAGCACTTGCTTTTGTGGGGAAGAGGATAGAAGATGGGCCAGGCATCTCCTCCCTCCTGACAGATAAAGAAATCAGGCTGCTTTTAGCAAAAGTGGGAAGAATTGAGGCAACCTTGACAGCAGTGGTTTCCAAACAAAAACTGAAAAAGAATCACTGTGCTTCAACTCTGAGGACATCATTAAGGTAGTGAGAGACCCTGAAGTGTGAGCTAGAACCATGGAGGCCTCTGTGCTGAGCCCCACGTCCTGGGAGAAACGGCAAGCTTGGCTCCGTCAGAGCCGTAACTGGCAAACGCAGGTCCTGGAAGAGGAAGCTGCAGCCGCCCTGCAGGATGTCCCAGACCCAATGCCTTCCAGCCTGGATGATGTTTTCCATGAAGGTAAGAAGCTGGAGGCACCACACAGGAGGGAGAATGTGGGTCTGCAGAGGGTGGACTTGCAAGTCTTTGCTGGGACTAGAATCTCAGGAAAGCTCATTGTGTCTGGCTTAAACAGATGTAAGTGAAGAGGTATAAAGTAATTCAAATATGAATTGTCTGAGAAGGAAGCAAGCTTAAGATTGGGAAAAGGAAAGGGATATTTTTGCATTGTCCAGAGAAGCTTCTGCAATAAACTGAGGCTAAGGGTTGTCTGTACATGAACAGCGAGGGATGTTTCTATGTTGTTATGTAACAATACTACACCCAGGCTGCCCCTGGCCTCTGGACTTTGCACTGACACTAACAAGGTGTGTGACTTGTGGGAAGTTATTTGCCTAGGCCACACTTGTCCAACAGAAGCAGTGGGCACTTTTCTGAATGCTTCTCAGAGGGTTGAATGAGCCCACAGACATGAGGGCAAGACAAGAGTTTTGAAAGACATAAACCTATCTTTGCTTATTTGGTAGGAAACAAATGGTGCACAGTTGTGCTTTTGCTGTGTTTTGTTTTTTGAAAAATAGACATCCCTGTACCCAAAACTTGAGGGGAAAAAAACAGTGGGCCTGACATCTTTTTAAGTTCCTGAGGAGAAGGGAGACAGAGAGAAGACAGATCCACTATCTTTATAAATTATTTATTAAATTCATGTCTTACAGAAAAGATTTGGGGAGGGGTCACAATGGCTTACAGAAGGACAAAGTTGGGGGCCTGCCCCTTAGCTCAGTTATTTAAGTGCCTGCTTAAACAAAGCCGTCAAGCTCAGCTTGCTGTGGTTCGATCCCCAGAACTCAAGCCAGCCAAACCTGCCCTGAAGACATTCTGAGCCAGCAAAAAAAAAAGAAAAAAGAAAAAAAAAATTCCTTCTCCTATAATATTCAAATGACGGAACTAAACAAAAAAGGGGATACAGATGAATGTCCACTTTGTATCTGTGTATTCAAAATGGTTAGGATGGATATATAGTTACATTCTCTTAATGAATAGAGGGATTTGTTCTAGTAGTCTTTGTATATAGGATATCATGTCCACATCTTGTACAGCAAATAACCACTAGGAGGAGAGTATGCAATGTGTTAATTATTGAAACTGTCCTACCATTTTGATTTGACGAGATTGGGCCCGTTCAGGGTGGTATGGCCGTAGACACCAATTTGATTTGCAACTGTCTCATTGCTATTTGTTTCTCAATAAAATTATGGGGAAAAAAAAAAAGGACAAAGTTGTGGAATGGAGCAAGGTGGGGAGCGGCAGGGCAGAGGTCTGCTCTCCTTCCAGTCTCACAGTAATCGGGTATCTGACTTCTCTAGGAAATCCAGTCAACAAGATTGAAACCTGGCTGCAGGGCTGCGGGTGAGTTTGGGTGAACCAGGGGGCTAGGTATGGGTGATGGTGGAATGTGCTGGCAGGCAGCACCCTTGGGAATTCAGAGATAGGAACATGGATGGGAGCTAGGCCTAAGGAAATAAAGTTGAAATCATGATTGGAAGGGGAGTCGTGGGGGATGGGTTCAGCTGGTGACCCAGGCTGTGACTATCCAACTCTGAAGAGGGGCTAGGTTCAGCTTACTGAGTAGCGTGGGTAGGCTCAGTTTCAAATCCCTACTGCACTGCTTCCGCCTTCCGAATGACTGATGTCTCTCTTGCGACAAAAGAGGAGAAGTGTGAAAGCAGATCACTTTTCCTGACCAGAACTTCATCACCATTCAGTGTCTACCTTAGAATGTGGGGGAAGGGCTGGGGGCTGACCCAGGCAACAGGTTAAGAATGCAGGCTTTCTGCAAGAGTGTATTGTTGCTGCTCAGGAACACTGAAGTAGGGGAACCTGCAGCCCATCAGTGTCTGTCATTTTAGATTCAGTCTCCTCAGCCATGAAGAAAGCCTCAGTGACCCAGTGAAGCCTGACTATTTCTGTAAGAATGATCCCTCAGAGTGTACAACTCCTACCTGCTCCTTACTGTCCCTTTAACAATGTCTTAAGTTTTATATAGACTTTAATCTAAACTCACCTATTAGTTGACATAAATAAAACTGTCCTTGATTATTTGGTAGGAATTGAAGAACACTGAATAATCCAGAATTGTTTATTTTAACTCTGCCTATGAAGACATGGCCAAGGATTGATTTTGTGCTTTTCTTTGCTGTCAGCAAAACATGTTGTCTTTATTGTCCTAATCTTACTTGCAATTCATTAACTTTAGGCAAATTAGGAGGACTTCAAAATACCTAAAGAAAAAAGGTGATGAAAACAAGCCTGTTTGCAGATTTGGGCGTGAAAGCTGGGATTAGAACGTCCCCGGGTTTCACAGTGCTGTACGTGCTTGTATAGGAGAGACTGTTGGCTCAGTTAATGTCCTTATTTTGTTAATTACTTTTGAGTCTTAATTCACATCAATAATTATTTGTTGTACATTTTCAAAATGTTTGCTCACCTAAATGGCTGGAAGAGGTGTCATGTATTTTAAAGTATAATCCTTGATTTCCAATATACCATTTGTTCTTCTGGTTGAGATGGTAAATTTGACTTATAATACTGTAGATACGTTTAGGGATTTTTATTTGAACTATGTATAAAACAGAATCATAAAATATTATTTTTGACTTAGGATTTGCATCACAAGTTTCAAGACCCAAAATGCTCCAAATTCTGAAACTGTTCAAGCACTGACATGATACCCTAAGTAGGAAAGTCGCACTTGATCCATGTGACAAGTCATAGTCAAAATACAGACACACTAAAAATACTGTGGAAAACTATCTTTAAGCTATTCAGATAGAGTATACTGCATAAGATATATAAATGAATTTTACATTTAGACTTGTGTTCCCTTCCCCAAATATAACTCATTATGGATATGAAAATATTTGGAAATCCAAAATCTGAAATAGATCTGGTCCAAGCTTTTTAGATAACAGATGCTCAACTTGTCCTGAGCAATGATAGCACAAGTATTAAGTGTAAGAATAAATCCAGGGCCAGTGAGATAGCTCAGCAGTTTAAAGTGCCTGCTTAGGTAAGCTTGGCAATCACAGGGGACCACGGTTCAATCCCTGGCATCACATGTCACACCAGCCCCGCCTTCAGGGTGGACTGAACTGGCCAAAAAAAAAAAAATAAATCCAATACTGTATCACTACATGTCCACATTAAATATCATAGTAGTAGATAACTATATTTGATTACCATAGTAAATATTAACTTCTATTAATATTTTAAATGTGCTTGGATGCCACTTGAACATATACTCATAAGTGAAATAAACCAGACACACATGTGTAAATATAGTATAGTTTCCCTAGTATAAGAACTCAAAAGAAGAAATACAAATAGAAAGGTTTAATACAAGTAAAAGGAAAGCAGGATCTCAAGGACTAACTAAACAAGAGAGGGAAAGGAGAAGAGCTAGGAAACATGAATAAGTCAAGCCATACAGTTATATGTAGAAGATGGGCAAGGCAATGCTCCTGAGAATCTTCAGAAGATTTTTGAATCTATCAGTTAATTGGAAAAATTCTCACCCTCACTAACTATATATACTGATACCTGTGAACTAAGCTACCGCACTGCAGATGGTAATCTGTAATAGTAGTTTCATGCTTGGAATGCCTGTCATTCTGGTCTTCTGAATACAGGCTGCTTGTTATGACATGACAGTTGATGCTATGATGTCTCTCAGGTAGATGGTTGTTCAAAAAGAAGGGGGTGGTGAATGAAAGCAAGAGACAGGAAAAGGAATAATGTGGGACTGTCCTGCTTCAAGGTTGTATATGGTGAGATTTTTGGACTTATGTGTAAACATAAGAAGTATATAATTATGCAAATTTTTAAAATATATTCTAATTTTTAAATTTTTGTTATTATATTCTGTAGGGACTTAAAGTTCAGCATATCAATACTTGATGAAAAATACCTGTTCCATATTATGCCTAAGATGTTTGATATGCACACAGATAGTGAGGTTAAGCTTAACAGCCTAAGTTGTATGGTAATAACAATAAGCTTGTCTTCTGGATGGTTAACAACCTAAGTTTGCAGACCAAAATTAGAGAAAAAGGAGGGCTGCAAGGAAAGCCAACATTTGGGCCCTAACCTTCTAAGGTCAATTAAGACTCAGGACATATGAGAACCTGTACTGTAACGTCATGTACCTCAGTAGTGTCCCAAATTTTCTGATCAAGAAGATTATGGGGCCAAAGAGGAAAGTGATCGATGATGTAGAGTGTGCCTAAGGAGAGTCACATGGAGAGAAAACATTCTCTCAAGCTTTCATAGAGAGCACATTGGCCTAGCAATGGCCGTGACTCATCCACATAGCTGACACTGACAAAGGATCTACAATCTGAGGTACAGGATCTCAGGATAAATCCTGAAGGGATTTCACTGACCTTATCAGACCCCAAAGCTACAACTCTTGTTGCATAAGTCCTGCCTTACCTTGGTCTTAACCATCCAGCAGAAAAGTATAAAAATGAAATATAAGAAGTAAAGCCATGCTGTTATGTTGAGCTGTAGGGGACTCAGGTCTACAATTTCTGACATTGCCAGTGAAGCAGAAGACCCAATACTATTATGGGCTACTGGACTCTTTTAGAATATTTTGCTGAGTTTACACACATATAATACTCAAATAATAGAACTTAACCAAAAAAAGGGGATACAGATGAATGTCCATTTTGTATCTGTGTATTCAAAGTGGTTAGAATAGATATATAGTTACATTCTCTTAATGAACAGAGTGATTTGTTCTAATGGTATTAGGATATCATGTCCACATCTTGTACAGCAATTAACCACTAGAAAGAAGGTATGCAATGTGTCAATTATTGAAACTGTCCTACCAATTTGATTTGAAACTGTCTCATTGCTATTTGTTTATCAATAAAATTATGGGAAAAAAAGAATTTGAAGATATGCTGCCTGTAATATAAAAAAATAAGAAATATGCCAGATTCATGATTTCCTTAAAATTAAAAAAAGTCAGAAGGTATTCAAGTTTTTAAGACCACCTTCATGAGATATGTATACATGGCAATTCCAAAGATTGTGCTCACTTTGGCAGCACAAATACCAGTTCATGAAGGTTAATGTGATTATTATGTATCATAAACATATACTAATAGAAGAAAAAAAAGAAATGAAAATATTCCAATACCCAATGGTAATTATTCCTTAAGAATTTAAGTATTTACTTGACTTTTGGTGACAAAGGTCCTCATTAATTTGTGGCCAGCATGTGCATTTTTTTTGTATTAAAATATTAAATTTCAAAACAAAATTAAATTTTAAACTATGTATATATTCATGTTTATTTTGTAACACATAGAGATATGTTTAATGACAATACTGGACCTTTAATATATAATGTAACTTTTTATAATCCACTTTCTTTCTCTTTTTAAAAAATATTTGACTAGTAGCTTAAGTGTTTGAAGGGAGGTTTGAAGGACATACAATTCAATTCTAACTCTGTCTTAGATTTTTTGTGTAACTTTTCTTACAGTGCAATTTATTGTGATGTTGAATCTGGTACCAAAAGGTGCTACTTAGTAGACACTTGAAGATATTTTTCTCTGTGCCAGATCTCCAAATTAAGTTATTGATAACTTTAACATTAAACAAAGATTTATTCTCTCCTGATCTTGTGCTTTCTTCTGCTAAGCAATAAGAAAAAAATTGTTTTAACTATTTTTATATCTTTTTCCTGAAAGAAACTTAGATCCAAATCTAGACAGTTAATATAGAATTGTTACAGTAAAACTATTTGTAAAAGTGCAATTTTAATCATTTAGTTGGATATCTATTTTAAGTGTGTTAGTAGAAATTATGCTTGAAACTATATAATTTAAAAATCTATAAGTTATTAAAAATCTAACTTAACAAGAAATGACTTTTTATTAATGTGCTTAGGTAACATATTTTCATTTTACATAAAAAACTTTATGATTATTATTCAATAAAATATATTGTTTGTGTGTTTCCCAAAAAAAATTTTTTAAATGTGCTTATAGCATTATAAGTTTGTATAATTATATGTTAGGAAAAGAAGTATATATTTCACTTCTAGTTATATTATTAGTTATTCACTTAATTAACTTGAATATTTTACATTTTATAATGTACTTTGATGTACAGTTTTTTATAAGGACATACAAACTCAAATTTTGCAGATAATGGATGATTTTCTTCACTACTGAAAGTACTAACAAAAGATGTCCATACATGTAATCATTTATTTTGTAAAATTTAAGTGCAACTTGATCTACAGATGTTCAATTAATAAACCCATTCCCACTATTAAACATCTGATATTGATACACCAAGATCTTGAAGGTTATTGGAACTACAGAATGCAGATGAGGGCAAGAAGCACTCTTGGGGTCATCTCCAAAGGGTACCCTCCTGCCTCCAACTCCCCACCAACTCTTCTCCACTCCAGTCTCTGGTTCAGATTATATTCAAAGCACCATGCATAGCTTCATTTAAAAGCTTTCAGAAGGCTGAAGAAATAGCTCAGTGGCATAACAGCCTGCCTGGCATGTGGAAGGACCCCTGCTCAATCCCCAGTACCACATGCCCCACTGGCCCCAGAACCCTGGGTGTGCTATGTGGGCCCTGGAATAGGGATTAGCACACATCTGTAATCCCAGTGATGGAGAGGCTGAGAGAGGAGGATCTCTGAGTCTGAACTGCATAGTGAGACCCTGCATCAAAAAACAAAGCAAATAAATAAAATATGCTTTAAAAGTTATAGAAAAGTAAATTCTACAAAACTCAGAAAATTAGTGCCTAAAGCAGTACATAATGATACAGTCTAGACTAAAGCGTCTTACGCAGTGTCTTAGAGCATTGCAACACCAATGAGCCAGGGGTGGAATTCCAGTGGACTGCTCCCACTTCAAGGCTTTTTTTTTCCCCGATTATTTCATTCACCTGTTTTGGACAGACAGAATGTCTCCCTTATATTTAAAACTGAGTTGTTTCTCACTACCATTTGTGCTGGTTTCCATTTGTTCTTCTGGTACAGATGGTAAAGGTTTGATAGGACGGTATCTCAGTTATCTCCAATCAAGTTTCTGCTGTTTCCTGGAATGTGCTATTCAGTAAAAATATGATTCTAAGAAAAAGAAGGTGGAGATAGATACGTTAGCCTGTTTAAAAGCTTAAGAAAATATACATGTTGATGTTTATAATTTGAAAATTATGGCACACAAGCCCCTTTTTCTATACATGTATTTTCCTAGTCTTGCTTCTGTGGTCTTTCTTTCCCATTTTCCAAAAAAAAAAAAAAAAAGACAAATTATTGGAAAATAAACTTTAAATAATGAAGCAAGGTGATGGAAGCACCATGAAAAATAAAATACATTTCACTCCCAGCTCCTCAGGCCTACATCTAAGAATCTGTCCATCAAGTAACCATTCCATCTTAGTTTTCTCCGATATGAAAGCAAATTCAGTATTGCTCACTCCCAGTGGAAAATGATATGAACATGTGGGAAATATCTGAGAACAATCTACTGGGCAACATAGTGCCCTCAACCTGTAACATCATTTTTGGATTTCAGAGACTCTGAAGAGGAGGTTTCTGAGGTATCTGGACAACCCATCTACAACGGTAAATACTCTGGGTGCTGCTCTGTTGTTCTACCTGGATGGTGACATGGCTATGTGCATGTATGTGAGATTATGCATGTGCACAGGCATGTACATGCATAAGCATGCCTGATTTTCTTTAAAGTGATTTTCTTAAAGTGATTTTCTTTAAAGTCTATAAGGACATTTTAATTGTCCTTATATTAGGGCAGTCTATAAGGTCCAAAAGAAAATGCTAGCTCAAACCCTCAAGTTTATCTATAATGTTTGAAACCTATCTGCTGTTGGTGGTTGCTCAGCTAACAGCTACTGATTTGAGAAAAGAGCTTCCTGAAATGTGTGCATTTCTAAAGCGCATGTCTATGTGCATGGGTGTACACCCTCTGTGCTTACTATTCAACAGGAGAATTCATGCATCATTGTATGACATGGGACTCAGGTTTAGCTGTAAGTGGCTGTAAGTGTGATTCTAAGTTAAACATGAGCGTGATTCAAGCATAGCACATGTAAGGCAAGGGTAGATTTGCAAGCATGTGGATACCCAATAAGATTGTGCCGGTCTAAGAAGATATGCATATGTTCAAGTCTGCTGTCGTGTGTTGTGTGTACATGTGTGCACATTTCAGACTGGCTTTTGATAGCCTTCCCCTGATTATTTGACAGGGTTTTCCAGCCATGGAACCAGTTTTGAAGATGACTTGATGCTTGGAGCAGAGGGTGAGTAGCACAGCTCTGAGGCTGTCATCCAAGAAGAGGCTAAATAATTGGATAAATTTTAAGAAAAGGATGGAGAGAAGAACTTTAGAAAGAAGTAGCCTCTCTCTGGGGTACCTCTCTGGGAAAAGATCACCTTGTTATGACCTCACACAGAAACACAAAGCAGCACAGGCCTGCGAGCACAGCCTTACCAGCTAGTCTTGACTCCTGCTGGCTCATTACTGGAACTATTCTTTGGGCCCTGGGAAGGAAACATAAAATTACCATATCATTTGCTGCCCAGATATCACTGAGACTATTTTCCCTATAGGAAGTGCACAGAAGCCTGAATCCTGGTTTTAAGAAAGAGATTGCACTGAAGCAGGACAAGGGCTTGCATAAACGGTGAAGGCACAGTCACTGCCCTGTGTCTCCAAGGGCCTGTAGAGACTCATGAGGTAGGGCAGGGACACAAGTCTGGAGCTGAGTGACTCCCCCCACCCACAACAGAGGGACTCTTCTCTACACATTAATCATGAGTCTAAAGTTCAGAGGCTCCAGACCAGGTGCTTGCTGCCTTATTTGTCTCTCTTCCAAGGCTATGGAAAGATCATCTTGAGACCTCTCAATTGAAAGATGAATTCCTGGATTTCAGCTGGCCTCTTGGAATAGAGAAACAAGAGCAACTCAAGTGACCTACATTTTCCCTGCTAACTTGCTCTTTGTCTTTCTGTTCCTTGTCTAGCCACACTGCTGACTGCTAATGACAAACTCTTCTCCAGGTAAGTGTAAGTTTCAGCCAGGCTGGATGATATCTTCTTCAGAAGACAGTGAACAGGCATAGGTACCAGAGATCAAAAACAAAGACCTAAAGCCCAGTGTGGTGGGGCATGGGCAATTCAGGAACTCAGCAAGACCTTATCTCAAAATAAAAAGGGCTCAGGATGTAGGTCAATGCACATGCCCTGATTGCAGTCTCCAGTATCACAAAAGATATCCTGATAGAGAAATTTTCTAACCAGTAGTAAAGGTATAGACCATTTGCTCTGTAGGTGTTTGGTTCTAAGATATTCTTCAAAGGGAAGCCAGGTGCAGACTGGCAACAAGATTGTGTGACATCAGCTTCTACCTCCACAGGAGTTTCCTCCAGACATCCAAGCCTTGCCAGCTACTTGATCTTGGCTGTAGCTTGGCTTCTAGCTGCATGACTGGTGGAACCAACAAGACTAGCTCAAGGTAGGTACTAAATTTTTTAGACCTGGGAAGGTAGAGAAGATGAGTGGTAAAAGAGAACAGAACTGAGAGCTATTGTCTATTTTTTCTAAGGTATCTTACTGGAGCTTGTATGTGCTTTCTTTACACACTGGAAATACAGCACCATATTTGCTTCAGGAAGAGTGGGGGATGCAGAAGAATCTTCTCCAAATTAGACACTGTGTACCACATGCAAGTGCCTCTGCCCACTGAACCCTAAGCACTAGGAAGGGTAGTGATGATACTCGTGGGTCTGCGCCCACACAACAGTCCATTGGGTCATCGTGGCTGGGAGGCAGCAAGGTATGGAGAGCCAAGACCAGTGATGAGCTTTTCCTAGACTAACTTCTATCTTCTTTACTCTGGTTAGACTAACTTCTGTCTTCTTTACCCTGGTTAACTCCAACTTCCTCTTTTGTTTTTCACGGTGCCAAGTCTTCTCCAATCAGTGCCTGTCATCACCCTACCACAAGCTCCACCACCAACCTAGCCTGATAAAATTTTTGTCTCCCTGCCTCTTCCTGAAGAGTTCTTGCTTCTCTTCAGCAGCCCTCCTATGCTGAGCAATAGTTTATCTTTACCTCTTTCCCTCTTCTCATTCACACAAGAGGAAGGAAACTTACAGATACCAGCACAGTCCTGAACTCATAGTAGGTACTTAATAAACAATGTATTGATTAATACACTAATTTTTGCTTATTAAAGCAATAAAATATTAATTCATGCGGCCAGAAAGAAACCATATGACATTTTAAAATTTGAATCAGATGAAAATCTTGCCACCAGGAGATCAACAATTCCATAGAGTGGGCAATAGTTACATGCAAATAATCTAAAATCAGGTAGGAAATAATGAAAATTACTAGTATGGTGTGATGAAAAGTGTTGCGAATTTGGAATAAAAGTCTGAATTTGGGTCCTGGTTCTGGGATGTAATTTTATCATGTTCTTATGTTAGAGATATATCTTCACTGAGTTGTGTCCCTAGTTAAATTAAATGAGAAAGTTTAATTTAATTTAGAGGTTGATTTGGGATTTGTATTTTTAAAAGTCCCGCAAAATGTCACACTATGCACCTATGGTTGTGAGCTGCTGATCTAGTCTTGTGCTGGCAATTTGCAGATAGGGAAATTTAAGACCCTGGAGATAAAATTGATATCTAGCTGACAACACAAGTCATGAAGTGTGCCTGCCTAGCTATTAATTAAACAAGGTAACCTGACTTAAATTTTAAAATGTAGCATTCTTCCTGAAGAGCGTGACAATGATTATCCAAAACCTCAAGTAATCTACACTTTGCCCTAACCCATTGTTGAAATAGAGTTACTGACCACTGGCATCACCCAGCTTGGTGGTACTTAGATTTGGTTATAGTTACAGGTTGGTGCAATAGAAAAAGAGACAGGGGGTCTCTTTGATCTTCTGTGACATGTTTTTTTGCATGAAAATAGTGCTTAATAAAAGTATGGCTCTCAAAATTAGCTTCTGAATGTACTTACTGATTAATTTTTACCTTCAGACTCTAAATAAAATTAAGTCCATGTTTGTTACACACTCACTGCCTAGGGATCCCAGTCAACTGTAGAATAAACAGAGCAGCAAGCTGCAAAACATTCTGCCAGAGCCAAATGTCTCATGGCATATATAAGTAGGAATAATGCAACCACAAAATTTCTTTTCATCTATGTTGTTTTTCGTGTTTCAATGTTTCAATGCTTTTCTTTTCATCTATAATAGATTATTTAAAAATTTTGGGAAGATTTTATTGAGGGCTTTTTTTTTTTTTTTTTTTTTGTAGGGTGTAGAGAATAGCGGGAAATGAGCGCAGGACCTCACTTTTTCCAGGGAGGTACTGCACCACTGACTAAATTCCTTGCCCTTTATTTAGATTTTATAACCTAAACAGAATTGTAATTTCCATGTTTCAGACAGAGAATTTAGGTTCAGAGTAGGGAAGACTTTCCCCACAGTCACAGCAGAAGGAAGAAAACAGGCCAGAAAGGAATTTAAATCTCCTAATAATTTTATTAGATATTCCAGATTAACATATGTCTCAAAGTTATTGCCCTAATTATTCAAATTCCCTTTCTTCAGCATTTCAGAGATTCTGGATCAGGTGCAAGAGGATGCAGAAGATGTACTCTTCAGTCTAGGGTTTGGCCAAGAGGACCACAAAGACACTACTCGGATCCCTGCAAGATTTTTCACCAACCCTTCTCAGGCCAAGGGCATCGATTTCCAGCTCTTCTTGAAGGCGCAGGTGCAAAGGATTGAGACAGAGGACCCCTGCCTCATGCTGGCCAGTAAGTATTACCCCAGATCCATGCTCCACCTCTCCCTGGACCTCCAATCATTCATACCAAGGCTTGGTGGCTCCAAGTCCTACTTTCCCAATGGCTCCAAATCCTACTTCTCTTGGCTAGCTTCAATTGACCCTTTGTGGCTTCCATTTCCTTTTACGTTGTTTAGTGAAAATGGAGGACTTTCAGAGTTGTCTTTCACTTATGGAAACAGTCTTCTAGAGATGTCAGGCCAATATTGCTTCCTCTAGGCCTTCTCCCCTTGACCTGAGTCAAATCATAATAATGTCTTTAAATCTTTGCCTATTTTTGATGCCTTATCTGGAACATCTATTAGGGATAGAGAGTGGAGAAGCCACGGAAGTGCACCTTGAGTGTCAGAAATTTAAATGGAAGGAACACTAAAGATGGAACTGACAATTTTCCTCTAAAATTCTGAGCTTTGGAAGGCTTTTGAAGTGAGATTTAAGAGGTAATTTGCTGATAAGCTCCCAAATCACTGCCTTCAACTTTTGTCCCTAGGCAGGTTTAAGCAGGTGCAAACACTGGCTGCTACTGCCGATGCTTTCTTCTGTCTCTACTCCTACGTGTCCAAGACACCAGTTCAAAAGTTCACACCATCCCATATGCTCTGGAATTACAACCCAACTGATGTGCCATCCATCAGGATTCTGGCCCCAGAGCCCGAACCCCACTCACCTAGGGAGCGCCTCCGGAAAGCTATCTCCAAAATGTGCCTGTACACAGGTTCCCGAGACCAGCTGTCCTCATGCCACAACACCTACAAAAGGAACAGTTTGGACCAAGTGGTTTGGGAAGTGATGGACAGAGTGCGAGGAGAGAAGCTAGTTCTCCAGCAAGTCTCTGAGTCTCGCCAAGGTCCACAAGAAAGTAGTGAGTCCCCCATAGGAGCCACAAAGCTGCCCACTTCTTCCTCTCCAAGTACCCTTGGTCCCAAAGTGGAAACATGGCAAGAGATGTCCACAGGGCTGGCACTATCACAAACTCTGGGTTCTAACCCCGAGGAACCCTACTGCACACATTCTCTACCAAAAGCACTTCCACCATGGAACATAAACCCTACACAGGTAAAACGAGAACTGTGTGGCCCACAGTCGACTAATATGGAAGCACATTCAGCCAAGAATGGGACTTTCTGGAATAGAAAGACCAAAGCAAGAAAGAGCCTATTTCAAAAAAGTCCACTGGACAAGAAGGTAGAAGAGTCACTGCATCTGTCCGTCATCCAGCAAAAATGGAAGAAAAGTCAAGACAGAACAGAACTGCCCCAATCCCTAACCCAGAAGCCTCAGCACACTTCTGACTCAGAAGAGGTGAGTGAATTGGAGGTGAGGGAGAGGCTGGAAGAGAAAAGCTCTGAATGCTTTTGCACAGGGTGAAGGAGTAGAGTCTTGAGCAAAGGAGATCCAAGTAGCTTGTTCTTGACAGATATACCACAATTAAACTCAGAGACTCATGGGAATGGATTAATAAAGCAGGGGAAAGAGTGTTCATGTTTCAAAGTTGCTTTTATTATTTTTTATCTGTTCTAATCTCCTCTGAAGGTTTTCATGAACTCCATTCGCCTTTATTATTTACAGGGATCTTCATAAAATTCCATAAGAAGGTTTGGGTATGTACACAGCTAAGCACTATTAACTAAAAAATAGTGTTGCCTATCTTGCCATATATGTAACAATTAACATCTAGAAGACCAAGTGGCAAATCTAGAAGTCTTCCACTCATAGGACTTCTGTTCTAGGTGACAACAGTATAGGCAGATCTTCTCCCTTTCCTCTGCTCACTTCCATCTCTTCCTATGACCAGGTATCTCCTGCACAACAAGAGGCCTTACACATTTATGTGCAGGCACCCTAGTCTGCCCATGCAAAGCCACAATCTCTCATCCACACAAACAGCCATGTGTGGGTCATCACTCACGTTTAGTGTTGCACAGGCTAGTGTAGAGGTCAGCCTCTGAGAAAACAGATAGGAAGAAAAACCAGCGCAGCTCCTTGAAGCCAAATCAGGACTATATCACCAGCAGATTTTGTGATCCTACATAACTAGAACCTGTTCTAAAAAGGAGAGTATTAAATCCAGGTGGGCACATCACCTAAGCCCACTGACTGTTTACCCCATGAACCCTAAAATTTACTTAGCACTCTTCTTACCTGAGTCTATAGATGGTATTACCATTATGTGTTGGGATGTCTTGCAGAAGCTCTCAAATCCTTGCCTCAGAGAGAAGCTATGATTAGTTGCAGTGTCATTTGCATGTATGTCACCTTGCACTAAATGTAGAACTGCACCTCAACTCCTATTTCCCTCACTATTACATCCCTGACATGACAGAAACTAAGACATAACAGAGGGAACACTCCCTAATTCATTCTGTGAAGCTAGCACTTAAAACTAAACAAAGATATTAACAGAAAATAAAGCTACAAACCAATAGTCTCATAAGTATAGATGTGAAGAGTGTCAAAACATCAGCAGTTCAAAGCCTACCATGGAAAAAAAAGGATTATGACCAAATGGGCATCTTCCAGATATGAGAGATTGGTTCAACATTTGGAAATGATGTAATCATCATGTCAACAGGCTTTCAAAAACCACCTAACTATATCAATAGATATAACAAAGTCATTTAACAAAGTTTAGCACCTATTCATGATAAAAGCTCAGAAAACTAGAATACACAGGAATTTCCTTGAGTGAATAAAAAATATTGATAAAAAGTTACAACTAACTGCATATCTAAATGATGAGTAATGCCAAGCTTTCCTACTAAAGTCAGGAAAAAAGCAATGATGTCCTTTCTTATCTCTACTTTTCATTATAGTGCTAGAAATCCTCACTAATGCAAGACAAGAAAAAGAAGTTAGACTGAGAAGGCAAAAATAAAACTGTTTTCAATTGTAGTGGTACAATTTTCTATGTAGAAAATCCAAGAGGCATCCAAATAAAAAAACCTTTGAAACTAGTAAGTGTTTATAATAGGATTGGATTGTTTTACTGGTGAATATACAACAGTGAATTGCATTCTGTTTTAATTTTTTATTTTTAAAAAGAATACAAAAATAGTAAAACAAAATTAGAAACAATATAAATTTCACTAAACAAAATGATACCAATTCAACAATGGTTGTCATATTGCATATTGTTGTCTTCAATATGAAGAATTACTGGATAAATTTGAAATTTAAAACACACTGTCATTTATATAGTTATCCAAAAATTGATACTTACGTGTAAATTTAATGAAATACGTTTAAGACCTATACAAGAAAAACTACAAAACTATGCAGAGAGAAATCAAAGAAAAACTAAATAAGTGGAGAAATATTCCATGTTCATGAATACAAAGAGTTAGTATTTTGAAGATGTCAGTTCTTCCTAACTTGATTTATAGATTTAATGCAATCCTCATCAAAACCCCCAGAAAATTATTCTACCTATATAGCAACAAACTGAAACTAACATTTATATGTAGATGCAAAAGACTGAAAATGGTATTGAAGAGCAAAGTTTGAGAACTGACAACACCCTGCTTCAAGAATTACCACAAAGCTACAGTAATCATCACAGGCTGGATTTGTTAAAAGAATGGACAAAAGATCATTTAGACAGAAAATAGAGTTCCAAAACAGACACAGTTAAATTCAGTCCATTGATCACTGACAAAGGAGCAAAGGAATGCAGTGGACAATAGATACTCTTTCCAATAAATATTAGGAAAATTGGACATTTACATGCAAAAGAAAATGAAATTAGGCACTGACCTTACACCTTTCATAAATATTAGCTCAAAATGGATCATGACCAAAATGCAAAATGAAAAACTCTAAAACTCCTCATTGATAACATAGGAGAAACCCTGGGTGAACATGCATTCATCAGTTACTTTTAAATGCAGTGCCCAAGGCACAATACATTTGAAAAAGAATTGATAAATTGGAATTTATTAAAATTAAGTCCTTCTCTTCTGCAAAGGACACTGTTAAGAAAATACAAGGATAACATGAAGGGAAATATTTACAGAAGATGAATGAGATAAAGTACTATACTCCAAATAAAATTTTAAAACCTCTTAAAACTCACCAATATGAACACAATTAGACTGATTTTAAAAGAGGCTGACAACCTTAAAAGGTACATCACTAAAGATTAATGAATGGAAGATAAGAATATGACAAAATACTTCACATCATATATCATCAAGGAAATTTAAATAACAATGAGCTATGTTATAGTTAAATCTAAAATGTCCCCCCACAAAGTCTCATGTATTCAGAGGTGGAATTTGGGGGAGGTAATTGAATCCTGGGGCCACCATTCTTATCGGTGAATTAACCCATTGGTGAGTTCCTGGATGATCATGCTGTTAGGAGGTGGGACCTGGAGTGGGTCACTAGGACCCAGACCTAGAAGAACACACTTTTGCACACAGCTCCTTCCCTCTTTCTCTGATTCCTGGCTGTCATGAACTGACTGTCATTCTTCCACTATACCTTTGCACTACACAACTTTTTGCCTTGGATCCAACAAATCATAGACTAAAGTCTCTAAAATCTGTGAGCTAAAATGAAGCACTCTTCCTTTAAATTGTGGGTGCCAGGGATTTTTGTCCCAGTGACCAAGAAAGGACATCATCTACACATTTTACAATGGCCAATAACTAGAATTCCCATGGCATGGAGTGCTGGTGAGGATATGGAACATGAGTTCTCTTTCATTGCTGTTAACAACACAAAATAGTTATAGTCATTTTGGAGGACAGTTTGGCAGTTTCTTAAAAATCTAAATATCATATGTTCCAGCAATCATGCTCCTTGCTATTTATTTACCTGAAAAATCTAAAACTTAATGTGTACTCAAACCCTGAATGTGCATATTTATAGCATCCTTGTTCATAAACACTGAAACTTGAAGGCAACTTAGATGCTGTCCAGTAGATAGTGAATAAAGAAAACATGGTAGATTGGACAATGGCATGTTAGTTGAAAGAAGTTATCAAACCTTAAAAAAGACATGAAGGAAACTTGACTGTGTATTACTAAGTGGAAAATAAAAGCTACTCTGAAAACATTTTATATTATAGGATTCCAAATTTATGACTTTCTGGAAAGGGAAAAATTATAATAACAGATAAGGACAAAATGTAGGCAGGATATAGAAGAGTGAGAAGAATGAATAGGTAGACCACAGAGGATTTTTAAGATAAATAAAACTATGCTGAGAGACACTATAATGGTGGATGTCTATTGTGACATGTCTGTCCAACCTACAGAACATCAACATCAATGTCAACTGTCGACTCTGGGTAATGATGCACCAATGTAGGTTCCTCATGACAAATGTACCACCTTGGCAGGGGATGTTAGTGACAAGAGCTGGGCATATGTGGAGACAAGACATGTACAGGGAATCTCTGTCTTTCTGTTCGATTTTGCTATATTTTGCTCAATTTTCTACCTAAATCTGCCATAGAATGTAAAGTTAAGTAAAAGAAACTTATGATGTGTAGTCACATGACCTACTCCATGCTAATTCAGTGATCATGGAAAGATCGCTTATCTTTGGTTTTGTCTCATATAATAGCAGGATAATAATTTTATACAGGCAGGATAATAACTTTTATAGAGGCACCCATACCTATATACTATTTATTTACATGAAGCTTTAACACTTCACAGGAAGTATATGAAGGAAACACAAAGTATTGAAATAATAATAATGATGTTGCTGATGACAATGAATTGTAGAAAAGGTAATCATGGGTTTAAAATACATATGGTGGCAAGGCCGAGGATATCGCGCAGTGGCACAGGCCCCTGCCTGGCAAGTGTGAGGTCCTGAGTTGGGTTGCCGGTACTGAAAGAAAGAAAATATGTATGTCAGTTTGTTTTAATCCTGGCAAGCATTTCAAAAATAACTATTTCAGGGACCCACCTAATAAATTTAAATACAAATTTCTTAGGCTGAGACTTAGGATGGTTGTTTGTTCTTCTTTTCCTACTATGTCATTTACTAGCTTTCCTAGTATGTCATACTAGCTTTCCTAGTATGTCATTTACCTCTTGCTGCATAATAATTATCCAAAACATAATAGTTTAAAGGAAACACTGCTTTCAAGATTAGCTGGTAGATTTTTTGTTCGTCTCCTTTGGGTTCATTTATGCAGCTGCATTTGGTGAGTGGCTGGATTGGAAGGTCTACCACAGACACACCAACATGCGTAGGCTCTTGGCCCTGTCAGCTGGGAGCTCTGTCTATTGCAGCCTCGCCTGCTTATATGAAAGTTCAATGAAAACCAAAGCTACAATAATGCCTTTGAAAATTGGACGTTGTCCTCTTTTCCATAAAATATTGGCGAAGGCAAGGAACAGAATCAATC